TCTGTTCCTGCTTTCTCCCCCATACACTTTGATCCCTTTGGCCCTAAGAACATACCTAACACCTCCTTGAAAACGTTCAATGCTTTGGCCTCAACTGCTTTCTGTGACAGAGAATGCCACAGATTTGCTACTTTCTGGGTGAAGACATTTCTCCTCATTTCAGTCCTAAATGTCTCAAACCATCCCTTTGCACTGTGACCCCTGGTTCTGGAATCCCCGATCATTGGGAACATCCTTCCTGCATTTACTCGGTCCAATCCTGTCATAACTTTATAGGTTTCTATGAAATCCCACCTCATTCTTCTGAACTCCAGTGAAAATATTCCTAAAAAATCTCTCTTCTTACATCAGTCCTGCCAGCCCAGGAATCAGCCTGGTGGGTAATGGGAGCACATCCCTTCTCTCTAGCCCCACACACAGTATTGACTGTTAAGATGCTTGATGGCTTTGTGACCCTTGTTGTGGACTGTGCATGAATTATCTGACTGCTTTCTGTCTGCTAAGTGTGTGGTGCAGCTCGGGAGCTGCGCTCTGGCCCAGGAGTCCCACTCTGGCCAGACAGCCCCTGCTGTATATATTGCAGAGGAAGAGTAGGGTTGAGAAGGTGCATGACACTGATGGCCTTGGGTTTTCTGGGCCTGCTCCGCTGAAGCCTTCCAGATGGTCAATGCCACATCTCCATGGGAGAGGTGATGGCCCAGTGGTGTTAGCACCGGACTGTTAATCCAGACACCTAGGTAACGTCCTGGGGACCCGTATTCAAATCCTGGTACGGCAGATAGGAGAATTTGAATCCAATAATAATCTGGAATTAAGAGTCTAATGGTGACCACATATCCATTGTTGATTGTCGGAACAGCCCATCTGGCTCATTAATACCCTTTAGAGAAGGAAATCTGCTGTCCTTACCTGGTCTGGCCTACATGTGACTCCAGACCCACAGTGATGTGGTTGACTCTTAACTGCCCTCTGGACATTTGAAGATCAGCAATGAATGCTGGCTTAAATAGTGACACTCCCATCCCATGAATGAATTTTAAAAAGTAGTGGGTGTACAAATGGCCTGGAGGTGGTGACTCAGTGACTTGTTGACTGTACAGAGAGTCTTTGGGTAAACAACCATCTAATTCCCCCTCCAAGTTAGAGGTATGGGGTCTCATTAACCAGAGGTCATCAACATGGAGTCCAACTGGGGCTTTCATTTCAACACAAAAAGGATCAGCAGGGTTTGGAACTTTATTTGAAGAGAGGGAAGTTCAAAGGGACAAGCTGGTCAGGGGTGGTGTGGGGGGTGTAACAGGTTTGCAAGGGAAGGAACAGATGCCTAATGTTAGAACAGACACAGGAAATGAAGTGGACAGCGATCCCAGCCAACAGAGGAAACTGGGAGGGAACAGGAAGGTGCTTGTTTGAAACACTCTCCTAATCACAAACCGTCAGATGTGATGAGACAGAGAATGTAGCAGTGTTCAATCCAGGATCAGTCCTCCAACCCAGACTTCCTCAATACTCATCAGATACAGAGGATTTGTCTTTCTGACCCATGCTGACATCTTATGGCAATTCTTCCGCAGTTCCATTTGACACAACAATGACTTGCATTTATAGCATCTTTTACCATAGTAAACTACCCCAAGGTGTTTCGTAGGAACTTAGATATTGGCACCAAGTCTCATCAGGATTTATTAGCATATGGCCAAAATCTCAGCTGCAGAGGTAAGTTTTAAGAAGTATCTTAAAGGAAGAAAAGAGAGGTAGGGAGGTGTAGGAAAGGAATTCCAGAGCTTGGGCCCCAGGCAGCTGAAGGCAGGTGGTGCCATTACAATTGGAGATGTATAAGAGGCCAGAATTGGAGGTGGACAAATATCTCAGAGGGTTGTAGGGCTAGGGCAGATTAGATTTAAGGAAGGGCAAGGCTGTGAAGAGTTTGTTAATACAGAGAAGTGGTAGTCAGGAAAATAACAAAAGAAGAAAGAGGGGGCAGCCTTGTTCTGGGAGGGTGGGCTGTTGATCTCCTTTTCAAGATGTTAGATTCCATAATCCTAATCTTGAAGCCCTTTGTTTTGAAATAATGCTTCATTGTATCTTCCACTACGCCTTGCAAAGTGCTGATACACCTGACATTGACCATAAGGATTGGCAAAGCAATTCAACCACAGTCAGCATCACAGTTGAACCAGATCACCAGTAATTTTGCTTCCCAGGATATCTCTGTGTGATTGGTGAACAGAGACCCCATTTGGTTTTCCTCTCTAAAGCAGAGGAGGACATTTTAAAAAGAATTTGTTTAAGAATCAACCATATTGCTATGGGCCTGGAGTCACATGTAGGCTAGACCAGGTAGGGGTATCAGATTTCTTCCCCTAGATACTTATTCCAGATCTTTATTATACCACTATCTGCCATGGCAGGATTTGAACCTGCCCCCAGTATATTATCTGGGTCTTGGATTATTAGAGTAATAAGAGTGTAATTAGAGCATGACCTGACAATGTGTTTTTCTTCTCATGATTGTGGGATCGATATTGACCAGGATATTGGGATAATTCCCTGCTCTTTTTGTCAAGCTAACAGGGTCTTTGTATACACTGAGAGAAGAAGGGCTTCTGGTTAATATCATGTTTGATAAATTGTCTCAGCACTGCCCTGGAGTTTGACTTTTATGCTCAAGACCAGGACTGGGGCTTGAGCCTAAAATCTCACACCTCTTGAGACGCAAGTGCTACCATCTGAGCCACACCTGAAAAACATCAGCAGTTCCTTCAACTCGAAATGAACCTATGACGAGCAAGACATTTTGGTATTCCCTCTCCCTTCCACCTTTACTCAGCAGCAAGAAAGTGGGCAGGTGTGTTTACTTCTGCAATAACACTTTGAAAACATTCGATTCAAAGTTTTCAAAGTTTCCAGCTGATAACCTTTCTGAGAACTGTAATTCCCCATCAGATCGAGATCGTACCTGTCACCTGCTGGAATAGGCTGTGCTGCCTGAAAGCTTCCTGGACAGACAATCGTCCCATTTGACTTTCGTATGGTCGGGATTTAGCTTCCTGCTGTGTTCACTCGCACAGCTGCTTCACATCTGCAACAACAACAACAGGCAATGCTATAGCACCTTTAAGCACAGTGAAACATGCCAAGGCTGTTCATAGGGAGAGGACTGGGGCATATTATGACACACATCTCTAATGCAGATGGGACTTGAACCTGGATGTTCTGACCCACAAGAATCGTTAGGAGCGGGATTGAATAGAATGTAATAGCAAGCTGCATGAGGAGATATTAGAACTGGGCTTGAACTCTCCCATGTCCCAGCCCCCTACTCCACACACCAGGCCTTGTCACCACATACCTTGTTAAACACTACCTGTTATTAGTCATTAATAGTCCCCAT